CCGTGCAGCTCAAATTAGATTTTAGTTAAAAAGAAAAAAAGAAATTAAAAAAAAAAAGTAGAGATAAGTTTGTAGCAGACCTAAAACTTCTTTCTTCCTTTCCTTTCCTCCCTCCCTTCCTTCTTCCTTCCCTCTTTTCTTTCCCTCCCTCCCTTCCTCTCTCTCCTTTCCTTTCTGCATTTCTTTCCTCTCTTTGGTTCAATGAGAATGAATACTTCCCAAGTTTGAATCACAGGAAGTGCTTGCATTTGATATGAAGTAACCAAACCTTTAGTGGTTAAGCCCCTAAGGCCTTTATTCCATCTTGCATCTAAAGCTGCACTAATTAATAATGTACTGTCCTGGGGCACCTGGTGAGCTTAGTCCTAGGAGCATGAGACTCCTGATCTCTGGGTTGTGAGTTCAAGCCCCAGGTTGGGTGTGGAGATTGCTTAAATAAATACAAAACTTAAAAATAAAAAAATACTGTCCTAGTATAGGGAGACAAGGGTCCTACTGAGGTGAAGACCAGGAAAGTGAGGAGTATGGAAGTTGTGTCATAAGAGAAGCAAGTGAAGGAACTTGAAAAAGAAGGGGAGCTGGAACAGGAATTAGGCAAGGCTCAATTGATGGGTTTTTGAGCTGGCTGTTTGCACTGTGTAGAATGTTCCTTCCCCTACTTTCCACCTATTGAAATTCTCCCAATAATGTAAGGCCAGATTGGATCATCATCTACTTTGAGAAGTTTCTAGATCCTCTTAGCTAGGGACCATCTCCCTACTTTGAACCCCCATAGCATTTGCTGCTACTTCTTTTTTAATAGTAGTGGTAGTCCAACATGTCCAGATCAGGTTAGTCAGGGCCTTGAATGCTACACAGAGAGGTGTAAGGAAGCCATTAAATTTCTGAGGATGGGCATGATCCAAGGTATCAAAGGCAGACTAAGAAGGCGTTTCTGGTGTAAACAGAAGGCAAGGGGTACATGAGACTACATTCTCTCTTTTTTTTTTTTTTAAAGCATATTACCATTGTCCAGGTATTATGCATGGTTACCCCACTTTATAAACATGGAAGCCAGGTTACTCTCCGACACATGGTCGCCAGGCAGCCTCCTTGTCCTAGGCACCTGCTTTACCCTCTGTAATCTGAGGATAATTGCTCCACTAAAATCGTGTTTTGAAGGCTCAGGAATGACCTGCTTCGTGCCACGTCTATGGACTTGTCCCCTCAGTTCTGAGTCCGTGATCTTCCCGAGACATTTGTTTTTTCACAATTCACGAACGAATTGCTTTTCCTCGCTTATAGTTTAAATTTGGGATGCACTTTTACCGAGTGAGTATAACGAAGCTTAATTAGTTAAGGGTGGCTATGGGTGGAGATTTCAAGAGATTCTAAAGGGTATTTCCGAGCCCTTTAGACTTGAAAGGCGGGTGACAATAGTTCTAAAGAGAACGGTCAAAGCCTGCAGATTTTTTCTTTTAACAGCTCTATTCTCATCCAGGAGCGGCAAGGCTGGGGGGCAACTTCTCTGTTGTTTGTTTACAAAAGAAATCAAGAAGGGGAGCGGGGCTCGCCTCTCTTTTGACCAAGGGCAAGAGTGAGGGGTCGGGAGGATTAGGTGCGGCTCCCCCTAGGCGCGCCCACAGCCCAGCCACGGCCCAGGGCAACCCCCTTCGCCAAGGGGCGGGGCGCGCCGGGCGGCCACGCGCGCGGGCGGCGGGGTGGGCGTGTCCCGCGGGCGCGCGCGGGCGGTGGAG